TTCCCTAAAAAAAAGAAGTACAACAAAATTAAAATAGCTTCCTGAGAATTATAATGCTAAGAGGCTAATTCTGTAAGGTTTCAGTTCATCTTCTTGATGGTAGGAGTATAAGTAACTACAGATTTCCAAACTGCACATATATAAATATTCTTTATTTTATGAAACAGATAACTTTTGACTGTTTTCTATAAAGTGATTTCCTCTTTACTTTTTTTCAGTATAAAATTAAAACATTTTCAAGGAAAAATGTCGAAATAAATTTGATCTCTATGTAGAAAATAAAAATGTTATAATTATTTTTTATATATCTAGCATTATTTTTATTTTACTGTGAGATGATACTCAAAAAGCATTTTTCAGTTGATTAGAACAAATTCTCATAAATCTTTTCTTAACATTCAATATAATTTGGTAAAATGTTATAATAGTTTGTAATATTAAATGGAGACCTAAAAAAAAAAACTTAGTGACAGAGGCCTATTTGAAACTTGCTTAATTTTCATTCATGGAGTTATTACATGAGCTGTGAATCTGTATCTAGGTAAATTTTTCTGGTTTTCCAATATAATTAAGGGGTAACCCTCAAAATAATGACTTTTCATTTAAAAATTGTTCATTACTATTACATGTTGGCTGGTCAGCTGACTAGAGCTACCAAATTTACTCTAAGAGATAAGGGAACAAAAGTAAAAATTTTATTTGGTACAGTGAATCTTTAACTCAATTTAAGAACTTGGAAATTTGAGTTTGCTAAAAAAGCTCCAGTCCTGGCTGGGGTAGCTCAGTTGAGTCGGCATCATCCTGTGTAGCGAAAGGTTATGGGTTTGATTCCCAGTCAGGGCACAAGCCTGGGTTACATTATAGGCTCAATCCTGGGGAGCGGGAAGAGAGGTGGCACGATTAGGAGCCAGCCAATAGATGTTTTGCTCTCACATCGATGTTTCTCTCTTCCTCTAAAAAAATCAATAAAAAATAGAAGCTCCATAATAACATGGCATGAAGAATATGATGCACTTCAACTTACAATTTACGTGAGAACAGACTTGATCTCATATAATCACAGGAACTATAAACAAGTAGGATTATGACTTTTTCTGGTCATTTTGTAATGTTGTTCTTAGAAAGTCAAAGCTTTGTTTTCTTTCCCCAAACTTTCTTTTAATGACATGTAGATTAAAGTGCTGGAGGTTAAGACCTTTACATTTTACATTAGTCCATGTAATGTACAGCTTTTTGGTCAAAGACAGTTATTTGTTTAATAAAGGCTTTCTGTCTTAAACAGAAAGGTTAACATAGACTATTTGCTAAGTCTGGTTCCTATCATAAAATCTAAAATTTGTGTAATTCAAGCAGATGTGATATATAATTTAAAAAACACATAAAATCACTTAATTCAACTATTGTATTGAATGTGTACTATATACCAGACCAATGAGATCACTGTATTTCACTTGGGACTAAGCAGTAAGCAGAACATAATAGGCCCCTAATGAAGTTGATGTTTAGGTCTGGAAAGACTGACACAGACAAATATATATTAGGTGGAGATGAATGCTATAATGAAAATTACCTGAGGTGATGTTATAGAAAGTAATTGGGAAGTTATTTTAAATTGGGTGGTTAGGGGAAACTTTTCTAAGGAAATGACATTTAACTTTAACAAATATAAATTGTAAATGCATAGGATAATAAGAAAAGACTAACAGTGGTCTCCTGAAAGCAGACAAGGTCAAATTTACGGCAGGGGAAATTGGGAGGGAGTAAACTCGAGAAAGCCACAGGCGGAGCTACATGTAGCGTAGAAGACATCTGCACAAGTAGGACTGGTTAGAAGACAGCTTAAGCCAGAGTGAATGGACACACTAAGACACATCAGCATGATTAGTCGGTGAGCTGCATGTGGAACAGCTGGGCTTAGGTCTTCATCTCTCCTCCTCCCACCCACCCCAGCTTGTGCTAAGCATCAGTCAACAGAGGCATATATCCTGGGCTAAAGCAGCAAGGATGCATACTGGGCTGTAGAGCAGTGCCATGTCACAGGTAGCTGCTGGCCCTCAGGAGGGAAGAAGAGCATCCACACCAGAAAACAAGCACTAGCACCCTTGCCCCTCCCTCAATCAAGGGCCATAAGCCACGGAACACTCGAGCAGTCATCAAACTGTAAAACACAAATATGAGCAAATCGCAAAAAAATCGCAAAAAAGATAAACAAATATGAGCAAATCACACACACAACTCACAATCACCAAAGAGATGAGGAAATCACCAAACTCTAAAGGAGACACACATAACACAACAAAGAGGAAATCTGAGGAAACTGTGTGACAAATTATGGGGCAGAAGATATGTCTGTGGGTGCCAATCTACACTATAGGGGGCACCACAGAGGTTACAGAGAATTTACAAATTTTGCAGGAAATTTCTATTTTTAGATTTGTTGAATATACAAAGCATGCACATAACCTAGGATTGCTATCTTTGTTAATTTCTGGACAAATTATAATTTGGCATACATAGAGAAAGCACACTGCTCCCAGGCACATATACTGTCATGTCATCAGAGTTAATTCACAGTAAATAGAATGAACGGCAAAGTAAATTATTAACACAGAAGACTTTACTGAGGACTTTCTAAAAAATATGTACAAAAAAGAGAAACTGTTAAGTAAAAACGTTAAGAGCCGCAGTGATGGATTTAGAAGTTTCAACAGCTGTCTAATAAGAATTCCATAAACAGCCCTAGTTGGCCTGGGCCCTGAAGGGTCCCAGGTTTGATTCAGGTCAAGGGCATGTACTTTGGTTGCGGGCACATCCCCACTAGGGGTGTGCAGGAGGCAGCTGATCAATGTTTCTCTCTCATTGATGTTTCTAACTCTCTATCCCTCTCCCTTCCTCTCATAAAAAAATTAATGAAATATATTTAAAAAAAGAAAGAAAAGAATTTCAGAAACAGAAGAGAAATAGTGTTCAGGAGAAAATTACCAATGAAAATGTCCAAGAGATAAAAGGAGAAATCTTCAGACAAAAAGGATCCAACAAGTACTGAGCACATAGAAGCAAAAAGGCAATACCTATACAGGTGACTGTAAAATATCAAAGCTTGAAAGCTAAAGGAAGTCTTAAGTTTTTAGGAAGAAGAATCAAGACTGAGAATTAAAGGACTGACAAAAATTCTCATCAGCAACAACGGAAACTAGCAAACCATGGAGTATTACCTTTAAAAAAATATATATGTATTTTTATTGATTTCAGAGAGAAAGTGAGAGAGATAGAAACATCAATGGTGAGAGAGAATCAGTGATTGGCTGCCTCCTGCACACCCCCTACTGGGGATCAAGGCAGCAACTTGGGGATGTGCCCTTGACTGGAATTGAACCTGGGATCCTTTAGTCCCCAGGATGACACTATATCCACTGAGCCACCAGCTAGGACTCCTCGGAGTAATATCTTAAAAGTTCTGAGGAAATATAATGTTACTTTCAGTCTAACTATCATTTAAGAGTAAGGGTAAATGAACACTCTTTAAAAAATATGCAAGGACTCAGACAATTTATCAGTCATAAAGCCTACCTGAAATAATTCCTGCAAAATAAATAATGAATCCAGAAAAGAGAAGTATGTTATAGAAGAAATAGTGTGCTGGGCAGCGTAGAGTGGGAGGATCCTGCCTTTTTCTCTCACTCTTGATATCTGATCCTTTAGCAAATCCTGTGAGTACTATCTTCAAAACAGACCTGGAACGTGATCCATTTTTACCACCTCCATTGTTACCAACTGGCCTCCTTGCTCTCTGAGTTACTGCAACAGCCTCTTAATTGGTCTCCTTGACCCCTGCATTCTATTCTTCTCACAGCATTCCACATGGCATGAGTGATTAATCCCATTAAAATGTTATTCCTCTGCTTAAAACTCTCCAATGCCTTTCCATCTTAGAGTAAAAGACTTCCAAAGGTCCATAAGCCCTATAAAGTCTAACTTCTTCATGATCTTTTGACATCAGTTTCTATGATTACTCCTTGCTCTTTTCTTTTTCCTTAGCTGCAAGAGCTTTCTCATGTTTCTTGAATACTCTAGGCAAGCTTCTGTTTCAGGGTGTTTGTACTGGCTGCCATTAGTTATGTATGCATTATTACTACCCCAAATATCCACATGGCACATTCCTTCATCACCTTTAGGTCTTTGCTGAAATGTCACTTTCTTAGTGACATTTAAAAAATTTTTAATATCGCAACTCTACTCAATAAGCCCATCATTTATATTCCCCTTCTTCTTTTTCCCATCTCATTTATAATCACCCAATATGACATACTTTCTTTTTACATCCTCATCCAAAGACATGCTGAGAGAAGGAGAGAGAGAGATTGGGTGCCTTCCATACCTGCCCTGACTGGGAATTGAACTGGCAACCTTTTGGTGCACAGGTACATACTTTTTTGTATGGACTGTCTATTACTACTAAACGGCAAGATCCACAAGGGCAAGGGTTTTGGTATGTTTTACTGTGTTCTCCAAGTCTAGAATGGTGTGAAGATTAAAAAAAAAAAAGCAGGTGAAAATCAAGCCAACCCAAATGTATTAAGATTTCTGTTTAAAGCTTCATGGAAATTTCTTTTACATTGCCCACAAGCTATATGAGCTAGAACATTTGCCATCATATGGAAGTTCTGTAGGCTATATGTATCAGAATATGCCAGGTCTCCCAAAAGTAGACAATATCTAATCAAATTTGGAGAACACAGGATAAAATTTCAGAGGTTAATTTGTTAATAATCTATAATTAGTATGCTTGGTGAACAGTTTAGAAGCCTAGAGTGGTGGTTCTTAAAATAATTCAGATGACAACATATCCAGAAGATATGGCCTTCTTTGAAAAACACCATTTATTAAAAACATTTACTAATGTATTAATAAAGGTAGTAAAACATGGCCCCTAACCACTAAGAATTTTAAAGACTAGGGGAAGAGAGAGAGAAAAGTAAGAACCACCTATGTCACAAAAGTTATCACTAAAGCCTTAAAGAAACAGTAAAGGAAGAGCTCAACTGAGGTGGCTGGAGGCTTATAAATAATTTCTGTAAAGAGCTAACACTGGATTTGAGGCTTAAAGGACAACAAATTACACAGGTGAAGAAGGAAAGAAGGGGATTTCTAGGTAGAGCATCCGCAAAAGCATGAATGTAAAAGAGTACAAGTTAAAGAATTGCAAGAGTAGTCTGGTGAAGCGACATAAGGAGAATGCAAAAGGAGAGGCTGGGTTAGAGAGAGGAAGAGGCTGGAATACCAGTAACTCCCTTGGTCCCAGCACACAACCAGGAGCACTTCAGGTGTAGATGGCTGCATCACAATGCAGCAATATAAAACCATAATCCAAGCAGACAGGCCCATAAAAAATTGTCAATGTAAGCATGACTGATAACTGATTGAGTGACCCATAATATTCACTTGCCACACATTACTTTAGTTGTATTGAAGTTCTGCTGCTTACTATTGCTTATTAGTAATTCTCTAAGCAGGCACCATATTTTTAATAACTTATTTGAGAAATACCCTTAATAATGAGAAAATTCTATTAATTCCTTTCCCAATAATTTGGGAAAAGACTATATTGTTTGATTCTAAGTGGCAGAAAAATTCAGAATACTAGTTTCCAGTAAGAGGATAGAGTGAGACTCAATGATTCAGAACTATGTGATAGGAAATTTGGGAGGCACTCTTTCAGACACCAAAGTCATGTAGGAAGTGCAGCAAGAGACTTAACTAGCAGCTGTGGCTATCCAGAAAGTAGCAAGGAAACAGGAAGTAAACAAAACATTTGCTCAACAACCAGAGAATCCAAACCCCATGTATTTTATTTTAGAAAAAATTCCTGAAGTCTTTCATCAAAGACTTTTAATCTTATGCATAATTTTAACAAACACAGAACCTGTATCCTCACTTCTAGTATATTAGCAGTAAAAAATGGAGGTGGGTGATGGAGGTGGAAGTGAGATGTTACGTTATGTTTCACTGACAGCACGAGAAATGAAGTGACAGCCTAAACATAAAGAGAATAGAGAAAAATTGTATTAAGCAAACACAGGAACACAAAAAGCAACAGCAGTCCAAGGCAGTTAGCTGGGGAGTAAACAGCTGCACACACTCATAACAGCCCTGAAAACATCACTAAATCAGAGCATTATGTAATAATTAATATTATCAATGACAGACCCAAGTCATCCAGAAAATGTTAACTTACGTTCAATGAACTCTTTTTTAGAAGGCAGGAAAGCATGTAATACATTTTGGAAAAATCCATCAAAATAGTTAAAGCAGCAAGCGTGGATGCTTAAAACTACAGCCTTTGGTAAGCTTCATATAATAGAGCTCACTCCTCCAATGTCATTCCAACATGTTAAATTTCTTAAGGCCTGAAAACAATGTAACTTCTAATGTGTCTATTTCATACCTAGAGCAACTAATCATTCTACACAATTTTATGCTTATAAGATCACAGGATAGAACACAGGTTCATGAGAACTGTGAATAGACCTTGGGTCTACGAACTCCCTGAAATTACATGCAAAGTTTGTGTCTAGTTTGTATGTGCATTTTTTTTTGGAGGGAAGGGTCCAAAGCTCTCATCTGATTCTTAAATTCTAAAACCAAAAAAGACTTTACAATGCTGGCTTGGATTAGAAAATACTTTAAGTGAGAAAAAAAAATAGCTAATTTATTCATGGAGAATGACTCACCTTACATTTTGTTTCAATAAAATTGAAATGGCCAAAACCGGTTTGGCTCAGTGGATAGAGCGTCGGCCTGCGGACTGAAAGGTCCCAGGTTCGATTCCGGTCAAGGGCATGTACCTTGGTTGCAGGCACATCCTTAGTGGGAGATGTGCAGGAGGCAGCTGATCAATGTTTCTCTCTCATCGATGTTTCTAACTCTCTATCTCTCTCCCTTCCCCTCTGTAAAAAATCAATAAAATATATTTTAAAAAAATTATTTTTTAAAAAATAAAATTGAAATGTAAACATAATTGGCACATTGTGACAACTATTTTAAGAATGCTGCTATGGCCCTAACCGGTTTGGCTCAGTGGACAGAGTGTCGGCCTGCAGACTGAAAGGTCCCGGGTTCGACTCCGGTCAAGGGCATGTACCTTGGTTGTGGGCACATCCCCAGTGGGGGTGTGCAGGAGGCAGCTGATGAATGTTTCTCTCTCATCGATGTTCTAATTCTCTATCCCTCTCACTTCCTCTCTGTAAAAAATCAATAAAATATATTTAAAAAAAAGAAAGAATGCTGCAATGTATGTGAGGACATATATATATATAGTATTCAACATAAACTATAACTTCTAAATCCCTTGAAGTATGCTTAGCATAAAAAAAGCTGTCTGGAAGGGCAAGTATATAGCCTATTGATCTTCAGCCATAAAAATTATCTGGATGCCTAAAAAGAAAATGCACTTTGTTTCTTTTGTCTTATTAATATATTTGGACATATATAGTCTTCTGACTAGGTCATTCAAAGAAATTATGAAACAAAAAATTTTTCTTATTACTCTATTCTTCAAAAAACACTCTATTTGGCACTCTACATTCTCTTAAAAGTAGCCTATGTTTGGTGTTTGTTTTATCATTTCAGAATTTATAGCAGAAGCTCTCTTTCTTTACCTAACAGATTTGATGGATTGACTGAGTCCCCATTTCCTCTGTAAAACATACTAAATGATGATGCTCATGGGATGCTGAATGCTTGTGGTTGCTAGGCAACTATCTATTAAGCCTGTATCCTTCTGTTCCACTGGTTCAGCTTTTTTGCTTAGCAGGTCTGTTGGGTTTGTTCCCAAACCTATTTATGCCATTTTCCATATTGTAATTATAATTTACTGAAATATACTTAAAGTGTCTGTCCCCTAATAACATATTGGCTATTTATTTGAAAATTAGGCAAGTGCTTTGAAAAGCTTCAAAAAAGGAAACCATACCTACACAAATAAGGTTGATTTATATGGGGTTGAGACGGCTGTAAAAGATTAGGGTGACTATCCTGAAAATCTAAAATAACTTACATGCATAACTCATGGACACAGACAGTAGTGTGGTGAAGGCCTGAGGAGGCGTGTGATGGGAGGGGGGAGGTCAATGGGGAAAAAAGAGGGGACATATGTAATACTTTCTTTTTTTCTTTATTGATTAAGTTATTACATATGTGTCCTTATCGCCCCATTGCCCCCGCCACCTCCTCACTCATGTGCTCACCCCCATTGTCAATACTTTCAACAATAAAAATAATTAAAAAAAAAAAAGTATTCTGTACTTGGATTACTTTTCAAGTATTTAAGTTTTAACTCCAGTTTGGAGAAATCAACCTAAAAACTGATGCATTAAAGGTATATTTGCACAAGAAAGACAAAGGGGAAATTCAATCTGTAGAACCATATTTAAAGAAAAGATCTTTGAATCAGTCTAGAATGAATCTGATAACTTTATAGGAATCACTACCTATGGTATGACTGAGAATTTTTGACTGACATTAACCAGCAAACCACTGAAATAGTCTCATTTATTAGATACTGATTCTTACCAATTTGGCTTTGAGAGTTAAAGAAACTTCCAAGCCCTAAGAAGTCTTAATGTTGTTTCTTATTGATTA